GAGAGAGAGAGAGAGAGAGAGAGAGAGAGAGAGAGAGAAAGAGAGAGAGAAAATTCTCTTTCTGGCTGCGCGCAACCGCCATAATCCAGATCTATCGACGCCTGAGCTTCCACGTGGGATTCATTACGTTCGGATTGACGTTTGTACTCGGCGTTTGATCCTGTAATATCAACAAATCCATTTGATTATTGTTTAAGATTACAAACTGAAGCGATTTATCAATATTTTGGTATAAACTGTGTAATAAGAATAAAAGATGATACATTGAAAGATCGTCGAATGTGTTGATATAGAAATGTTAACAATCGGCAAGATTGTAGCGAAGTTGGTAATACTTTATCAAAAACCATGGTCGCGTCTCGCGCCAAGTTCACGCGTAACGCAACGAAAGATTACGTATCTTTACACGAATATACAAGTTGAGAAGAACTGAGATTATCTCAGTATATATAGTACACTAAGCGACTTTAATTTTTTAAACAATTGTTGTTAAAAGAAAGGGCTTTTTGCAAACTGATCTTTATAGATGAGATGAGTAATAAATTACTTTTGATTAATTTCTAATAGTGTTTACTCCGCAATCCATCCAAATATTATCATTTTGCGTAAACTGTTTCAATTATTTAGAATCAAATCAGAATCGAATAGCATTTTTGTATATTATCTCAAGTACACACTTTTTAAGAATAAGGATTGTATTAAGAAAGTATGGAAAGTACGATTCTTCTATTTTGGAAAAGTACGAATTTAAGACGTAAAAATAAGCTCTTGGATTCGATCGTATGTTGAAACGACGATGACGAAGGACGAAAGGTTCGGTAACCTTCGTAATATGCATCGGCAAATATGTCGTTCGCTTCCGCGGTCCTCTCTCCTTCTCTCTTTCTTTCTCTTTCTCCCTTGGAGGGTTATTTCGCGACCGCTCTCTCCCAACAGACGCGCATTGCCTCGCGTGTCTGTTGCCGCGGCATCCGAAAGGGGTGCGCTCTCCCACCCACGCGCGCGAGAGAGAGCCTCATCGTCGTCGTCATCGCCTCGCCCTCTGCTCGCCCTCTGCTCGTCCTCCGCTCGCCCTCTCTCGCGCTCGCATTCGGACGAGGAGGTGCATCGCGGTGAGTGTTGCGTGGCGCGGGGTGGTGGAAAAGTGGATGGAGTCAGATAGAACCACGCCCCAATCGCGGACGACGCACGCCAACCCGACGCGGCACCCGAGGGTGTCTCTCTGTCCGCCACCGACGTGGCTGGTACGACTCCAGGCCACGGGGGTGGCTCTCAGTGGTTATGCGCGACCGAGGACCGGGAAGGGAAGGAAGGAAGCGCGCATCGTGCGTCCACGCGGCACCGCGACGGCCACCGCTATGGCTAGTCCTCGGATATCCTTTATCGGAGAGATGTCACTTCGTGTACGCGACGCGCAACGCTAGGCGCGATTGGTCACGCCTCAGCGTCTGCACGACAGCGCGACGACCAAGTGGATAAAGTGCCATCGGTGACGAGTCCGCGAGAAAAGGCTGAGATCGGATTTGGATTTTTTTCTCTTTTTGCGACTCGATGTTAAGCATTGACAAAAAAACGCCGATGAGCGGTCATCCGCAAGGGAGGAGCCTCGCAGCTGTACGAGATAAGACTCATCCTGTTCTGTAAAAAAAAAATAACCGATTGGAAATCGTTCGCTGTCAACACTCGACAAGTTGCACGCGATTCACGAATCTCATCTTATAATGCTGTAGCGAAAACGTCTCTCGCGCGTTTCTTCGAATACCGAACTTGGAACAGATATAGTATATATCGCACGTTACTCTCGTGTCGAACACGTCGATATATTCGCGAGTTCACCCCGTGACACGTAACATGGTAGAGAGCACTTATGCGAGCGACTCGCCGAGATCACGCTCGCCCATGACAGAACCGTCGAGTCCGCTGCACGATGGTCCCGGTATATCCGGCTACGGCCACAGCTATCTGTACAGTTACTCACCGGACGCGCAGAATCACGTCGCGACGACACGTCGCAACAACAGCGAGGCGACCGATGCCGCACACGATCGGACCTTCGCCAGGAGTCCAATTGGCGCGGAGGATACACCGCGGCACCGGATCCGCGAGCCGATCTCCTCGCGACCGGGCGGTTCATCCGCGACTATGTCATCTCCCACCTCGCTCTTCACCATCGATAGCATCCTGGCTCCGAGGCCGATCGGCAACGTCGTCGTCCCCACAAGCACAGTCGCCGCATCCGTGATCCAGACGCCGGAGACGATCGAATCGTCGGCCACCGGCCGCACCACGGCGATGCACCCGTTGCAGCAGCAGCTGCATCATTTGGCGTTCACTTCGGCGGATTTTCTCGGTGGGTAACGTGCCGCAATTCTGGAGATCGTGACTCCTTTTAAAGGCGAACCGAAAATCTCTAAAAGAGGCCGAGAAAACGCTTAAAAGATGCTTTTAATCCTTTAAGACTTCTTTTAGGCGACTTTTCCGCTTCCCTTGGGCTTTTTTGTGCCGTGTCGCGTCATTTGGGTTCTTATATGCGTGAAATTATGATTACTTTGCTTAACTACTCAATAGTCCGCCTTTACATCTCCATTTACGATTATTTTAGATGAAATTTGCAATAAATCAAGAGACACTGTCATGTCTCTCGCGCCAAGTTCACGTTACAGATTTATCTCGTTACATTAAATTATATTACGCGCAACATACACAAAATTTTTTCGTATTATTTTGTTGATAAATGATCAAATTATTGAGGTGTTGAGAAATAAACATGCTTGAGTTAATGAAGCATTCGGGGGAATCGCTTGTGTCGAACAATTATTCAAGCTTGAGCGCGAACGCGCTTAATTTATGCGTGCCGCTGGACATGTTAATGCAGCTTACAATCTTTTCCGTAATACGATCATAAATTAGTCAGCATTTATGGAAAATAGAAATTTCGGCAAAAGGAACTAACTTTCACATTTTTTTATACATTGTTGTGAATAAATTGACAAATTATTTTCTCTGCTATAAATCTTAAATTGACGAAATTATTCGACTTGTAAAATCAGTTTAGAATTTTTAAGCGCTTGCTTTGTCCAGATTTAGCCAATGTTCTGCGGGTGTTGTTAAATGTATTTCGCGCGACAGAGAGACGTTTAACAGCTTACATCGCAAAAATATAAGAGTCTGCGTGAAATTCTAAGAGACTCGGTGTGAAACGCGCCAAAATTTCTTTTATGCCCGCGAGGGCTTTAGGTATTTTTCCCTCTGAAAAGGAAACTGCGCTCTCCTGCATTGGGGATACGCGAGATGAAATCCGCAATCCGTTTCGATCATGCATGAACGATCTAGCTCCTTCTGCAATCCCGCTAGAAGACGGAGAACGGGGAAAAGGAAGCATGCAAACGCGAGAAGGAGAAAGAAAGAGAGGAAGCGTACTATGAGTAAAAGCAGAAATTTTTACCGTCCCCACATTTTCATACGCAACGTCGCGTTTAAGCAGCTTTCTTCGAGATTTTAAAGTAAAACGTCCCCCGGGACGGGGGTGCTTGGCGACCTTTTTATCCTAAACATCGTGAATGGGGTCGTCGGCTCTACGAATTATAATATTGTGTCTGCGAGAGAAATATTCAATCGTGAAATTTTTTCTCGCATTTAAAATTCCAAAAATATCAAAGTGCTCGTTGTAAAATCATATTGAATCTACGCGAAATTGACCCCATTTTGCGAAAGATATAATCCTTTTGTCATTACGGTAATTTGAGGTCCGAATTACCGCGATTGTTACAATTATCCTTTGTTAAAATCGATCGCGAACTCCCCTAATGTTATAATCACGAACGAGAATGGCCGAGTTTGAATCTTTAATGCGACGCAAAGTTCAAATGACGTTGCAATCGCGAATAATCTTTATTATCATTTATGCATTGGACGATCATTTATGCAGAGAAGTACAATACTGGCATGTAATGAGTTTTAAGATAGTTTTATTAACTGTGCGCCATTTTTGGATTTCAGCCGCGGCATATCCAGGATTGTATCCCGGAGGATACGTGGCGGCGATGGCCGCTGCCGGTGTTTCCCTTCACGGACAGCCGGCCTTTTACCATACCGGTCATCCTTATCAAATAAATCCCAATAACCCGGGAATGGGCCCGATGGCCAAGAGAAAACGTCGCCATCGGACGATATTCACGGAGGAACAATTGGAGCAATTGGAAGCCACCTTCGATAAGACGCATTATCCTGACGTGCTGTTGCGAGAACAGCTGGCCCTTCAGGTTGATCTCAAGGAGGAGAGAATCGAGGTTAGCCAAACTTTTCATATCCTATCGTACAAAATAGCGCTTTCTTCCAATTTTTACGACAAATAAACTTGGGAGTCCATCATATGACATTGATAATATTTGTTGCAATTTGTTGGATTCGCTACTAAAGTTTCTTCAGAAAGAAAAGGTAAAGATCAATCGCTAATTTTATACTGAAGGACATTTTATTATATTCTTTCGTTATGTTAATTGTGATTAAATTAATTATCGTGGAGGGTATTGACATATCAAAATAATAAAAAGTGAAAAAAAATGAAGAAACATATAATGACAATTTCAAACTGGCATTCGCTTTATAAGAACAAGAAGCAACTACCGTTTTGAGTGGCGGTGCGGCCGTGGCATGTAGCAGCGACGCTTAAGCCGTCGCCCGATGACAAATTACTTTCTCGAGCTGTGAACGGAATATTGGGTTTCGGATTGACAAACATTGACCGTCCGGATGCGGCTTGGGTCCGCACGCACAATTTGTAATGTAATGTCGGCAAACTACGCGCTCGCGCACCCGCCGCCGCCAATCCTGAGTGGGATGGAACAGTCTGTGTTTGTCGTCCTAATGCATAAAAGCCCATAATATTTTAACGTGTTCATTAAAATTTACTGCGGCGGGTATTTATCGGGGGCCTCGGTCGACTTGAGCTAACAAGTTGCATGCTAGATTAAAAGCTTTAGCGATAATGTGTTTACTTCAATTATACATATGATCGCGCGCTCGCTCACTCGTTCGTTAGCTCTCTCCGATGCGCGTGCACGCATCGTGCAATTTATAATCTCTGAAGTAGTGTACTTTCTACTAGCAAGAGAGAGAGAGAGAGAGAGAGAGAGAGAGAGAGAGAGAGAGCATATTTTACGCTAATTTTGTATGAATTTACCTTTCAATTAAACGCCACGACTCATTGTGCTGCCGATCAAGCGCTATTTTTTCAGTAATTAGCGTTCTTAGTCTGACGACAAGCGTCGTATTGTGATTTTTGTTATTTCGTATACAATAGCTACGGTGTTTCTGTACAAATCGTTTCAACACCCCAATTTATTCATTTTACTTGATGTTTAGATAACACCCAAATTCTTTCGACAATTTTAAATCAATGCTTTATATGTGACGTATACACACGGAGAAAATTTTATGTCAAAAATCACAATCTACAGCGACAGCCGCGGACCATGAAGAAATTATAAAAATTTTTACTATGTTTTTCACATAATGACCATAGTATTTAGACTTATAATTCCTCTTATGGTCCGCGGCTACTGCCGTGTCATAGTAATTTTTAATATAAAATTTTCTCCATGCAATCAAAATTTCAACGCAAGATTTCAACACCTATTTCTGTCACTTTAACAGCCCCGCATAGTATTCGAAATGCGAAACTGAAGGATTAAATTATGAGAATATAAAACGGAATTACGAACAAAGTATAAAGTAGCCATTATTGTCCGACACCTGGACGGCGATTCCGTCGAGTAATCATAGACTCTGAGAATCATCGACACTCACGTGGGGACCACCCGCGTTGCGTCGGCTTTGCCAAAGGGAAGTCCGAGTCTCGAGAGTGTTTAAAGACTGGAACAACATATACCTGCGCCCGGTACTCTTCGGCCTCTCGGAGCGAGAGTAACAGTGTTTGCACAGAATTAGTAGAATAGCGACTTTCTTGGTATGCCTGTGAAAACGCAAGAGGGAACGCAGGAGAGGACAAAGAAAAAACTAGGAACAGGTCGGGAGAAAACCTAAGACGCTGTTTTGTGTACTTCCAAGATCGCGTCGACTCGATGTTGGGTTCAAGAATAGACACGTGAAAATAAGAATTCGGAAACCACAGTATCTCCACACCTTGCTTACGAGCAGATCTACGTATAACAGATAGATCAGAGATAAATTGATCGTTCCTCAAATATTATTACTATTATTACCAAAAAGTTAAATTACCGTCGGAGCAGGCTATACAAAACACCTAGATATGTGATCCACATGAAATGATACACGATCGTGACAGATTTAATTTCGCAACTCTCAACGTGGAAAGTTTAGGAGATCCAGAGATCTCATCCTTCAAAGTGAACGAGGGTTAAACCATTACAATAGCTATTGCAGCCAAACGAACGAGCGGGTAGGGATGGATATTGATTGTCGGTTTTCACTCAGATTGATTCAGACAGGCGTGAGGGACAAATGCGTGTTTCGAGTGCGCATGGCGGGAATTCGTTTGATGTGTCTCGCATCTTTTCTTACTTCGTTAGGTAATATCTCACAGTATACGCGTCATACGTCTCGTAATCACGACTTTTTTCAATGCTACATATTTTCTGAAGATTATTCAATGGAAAAATATTGACTCCAGCGAACAATTACTTTAATTTACAATTGTACGATAATTAAGAACTGACATTACATTTTTCTTTATAAAAATATAATTATATATATATACATGTTACTCTTTTCATAATTGCATGTAAGTCTTATTTAATTTTTTATTTCAATAATTATTCTCTCTACAATATAATTGTTTTATCATGTAAAAATATTATTTATTCTCATCTATAAGCTGATCGAATAAAGAATTAACTCTCACAAACTTTCAAATCTAAACTAGTGCTTGAAAATTTCAGAGGATTGATAAATTCTCAAGTTAGGCTAAAATAGAAAAATTTCATCAAATTATTTGTTTTCTATTCGCAATGCGTACCACATTTCTTTCCATTTTCTTTATCGTCCGAATTTCAGATGTAACGAATTGACATAACGTATCGATCATCACTCAAGTTCTGAACGGATCTGCCCGAAATGTTCGAACTCGATGCTCATTTGTTTCTTATTCGAACTATCCGAACGGATCAAGCATATAATATGTTCGATTCTGAGCCTTAATCTGAATGTCGCAACGAATCATGCTTGTTCCAGGTGTGGTTCAAAAATCGTCGCGCCAAGTGGCGAAAGCAAAAGCGAGAGGAGCAAGATCGTCTGCGGAAATTGCAATTGGAGCAGCGTCAGCGTACCGACGACGGCGGTGCCGCAACGACAGTGATGGTGGGCGATCGTTTGGGCCTGAGTACGCAGCAACAGCAGAAGCTTGAGCAAGATACGGACAGCTCCGATCTCGAGGTAGCGTAGTGTGGCCACGATTTTGCGCATCGATAATCGATAATCGAGGGGATTGAAGACGATGGAAGACGGCCCGGTGCTTTCGCTCTTGTCAACAACGGGGCATGTACATACGTAATCACGCTGTAAATATCATTGTAAATATGAATAACGATGAATGTGTACAATACCGAAATAAATTATTGCATCCAAGTACGAGGCGGTATGACGTTTGATCTCCTTGCACGCGGATGTGTTTATAAAAAAATTAAGTTTCACGATGTTTGTGTTAAAATATAAGCTCGACCACATACCATAATTCCGATATGTACAAGTTTTACAGAAAATGTTTTGTATATACCGTTTTCATTGCTCTTTCTTTCTCTCTCTTTCTCTCTCTCTCTTCTCTCTCTCTCTCTCTCTCTCTCTCTTTCTCTCTCTTTTTCTCTCTCTCCATTGTCTTCAGTTCTAGATTTTTGTCTCAATTTTATATTAACGATAAATTAATTTATAAAATTAATTTCGCAGTGTCCGTCTTCCATCCCGTACGATTTCTTAGTCCTTGCCTTTAGTTAAACATATCTTTATTTTTCGATTAAATTGAACTGAATTAGAGCAAATTAAGATATATTTCATAAAATTTCTTTTACTTTATTTATTTGATTTTTTTTTATTCTCAATCTTATCCAAAAAGAGCAAAATTTATTTTCTTTGATATAACACTTTATATATGAGACATTCCCATTTTATATGTAAATACGTGTAAGCAGCGAGGTGTCCATTTAGATCGCGAAAAATTTAAATCCCACTACTATCGTGCGCTCTTATTGTTATTGCTAGCGCGCAACCCGGTTTTACAACAATATTTTCTTATTGAAATCGCTTCGCCGTTGTGGAAAATACATTCTCGTTTATATAAACGTTTACACGCAGCTTCGATTTCTCCACACATAAATATTAAAGTCCGTCGATTGTTTAGGAATTTCAAAATGGTCGAATTGGAACTTTCGCTTGACGGTATTTCAAATGTAGGGAAGGAAAATTTCAAGTCAATCACAATAGAAAAATTATTCTCTCGATTTCGACTCATTTCGTACATGCTATACAGATGAATTTTATTGATTTAATGTATCTCGGAAAACTATACTTTTGTCATGCTTTATTTTGATATTTGCAAACTTTTTCGTATCAAAGCTTCAAATGATTATCGCATCATTTCCGCTTTTTTTTACTTCTTTATCTTTCTTTTCTTCTGTTCGTTGAACGCGCGCTTCCTCCCAACGAGTCGCCCGAAACGATTTCTTCTCTCGCCCATCCTCGCACGAAAATCAGGACCTACCTCGACGACTCTGAGAATCTTAACGGGATTCAAACTGAACTGACTACATTCGGGCGAACCAATAATTAGCACGAGCACCGTGACAAATTTACAGAAGGACGTAGCTCTCATCAGATACGCCGCGCCATGGCCGTACTGGAAGAGCGGCGGACCAAACGAGTTTACGTCACAAACGTAATACGCGCCGCAAAATTTAAAGAGACCGAGACAAGCGGTCTCGCACGTAAGGATACCGAAGTGATGATCGAAGAACATGCGTTCCAACGACTGCCACAAGCATTCATTCGTACGAACGTATAGCCTGCCGCAAACGGCCGGCAGTATCCTCGCCTCGAACAAGGTTTCGCCAATTTTAAAGCTATCGGACAGATACCGGTTCCAACAGCTTACGTGAGCATACTCGCTTCTGGTGGATTTCAATTCAGCCTCGAGCTTGCTGTGCGTGTAATAACGATCCCCACACATAACGATCACATCGAGGATTTTCGGGCTCCAATATTCCGGCGCTATGATCCTCGTCATGCCGGCGCACACCACGTAGCACGCGTACATTTGCATTCCACGGTTCGCCTCGTCGAACATACCATCGGTAATATGTATCTCGCCCCACAGAGAGAACAGGCGGTTAACTTCTTCCACGTAATACTGATGCCACTTCGCTTTGCCGCTTTGCTGGGCCTTCACCTTGTCCGCAGCCTGTCTCTGCCGACTCGCGGACGCACATCTGCTCCAGGTTACTCGAAAACGCTTCAACCATGTAGCTTTCTCTCTTGGCTCCTTCGGATCGCCCTCTGATTCTTCTATATCACTCGCGTCTTGATCTCCGATCTCGAGAGACCCGGACGAACATTCATCGACGCATCGCGGTGGCTTAAACGCGCCACGCTGCAATAATTTCAAATTATGCAGCTGACAGCAGTGGAAATTAACATGAAAAATTTGAACGTCGAAAACGTCGTCTTTCCCGATTTGAGATCCACTCGGATCTCGCGATTCCAGAACTTCGTAAGCGTAGGCTCTCAACAGGAGGATCATCAGATGCCTCTTTAAAGAGTCTTTAGAGCAGAATTTTACGATGCAAGCGTACCCGTCGTCGTCCCACAGGCCGAACTCGTCGCAACGATACGGATTGTAAAGGTACCAAAACTGATCGTCCTTCCAGAAGGCTAACGAGAATCTAGTCGTACGGAAAATGCAATTGCGATATCGCTGGGATAATTCGTCAAACCACTCCTCTATCTTTTGCGTGTCCTCGTGTACAGATACGTATTCTAGATCCGTGATTTTTTGGGAACCGAGTTCCACTTTAACTCTCAGAGGATCCTTTCTGTGTAACGTGATCCGCCTCCTTAAGCCGCTCTCTTCATAGTCGAAATCGATGTCTCGCGCCACGGGTATATCCTTCAATTCCTGCAACAACTCTATCTCGACACTGTACTTGTAGTTGTACACGACGACATCGTCCAGACGCTGCTGCTCCTTCACGTTGACCGTGCCGATGTGAGTATAAAGTGTCCAGGCGAGGTCATAGATGTAATCGATATTGGCGCTCCACGCGTACTTGTATCTTCCAAAAGCATAATAAGGATAATGTTAAATCTTGCATTTTAAGTGCTCTTTTTAAGAAAGATAAAATTAAATAAATATCAAATTTTGTAAAACAATATTATACAGGGTGATTCTAGCAACTGGGCTGAGTTAGGTTAGGTTACTCTTTTTTAAGTCAAGATACAGATATTAAACATTTTATATCATAAAATTACTTTATTACATTAAATGCTTAAACGTACCATTATGACATTCTAAATATTTTCCGACATGTTTTTGTATGATTTTCATAATATTGTTCAGTTGGTCAATAGATGCATCAGAACAAGCTGTTGTAATTCGTTCTTTCAAGAGTCATTTTCCGAAAGAAATTTTTGCGAATACACATTACGCTTTATGACATAGAATATGTAATATTTGGCAAAATATTAAACTTTCGATTATCTTACTCTAATACGCGCAAAATAATTAGAAGAATCAATTTACACTAAAAAAAGTATATAATTCTATTTAAAAAAAAGTGCAATTGCACTTCATTTGAAAAAATAGAATCCCAGAATGGTACATTATATTAAACAACGAAATGAAAGATTTTCCTCCATCACTTTTTTTCTATCTAGACTTATTGTTAGAAAAGAGCTATAATCCAGCCCAGTTACTAGAATCATCTTGTATAGTTGCACTTTCATATTTTCCATGCAAAATACACACCGGCTCTAAAGTTATACTTTCTATAAAATAAACTAAGTTTTACATTTACAAATGATTTAAATTTTATAGATAAAATGTATATGAGAGAATATAACATAAACTAAATTAAATTATGATAAATTAATGATAAAATTTGCATATCTAACATTTCGCAATGGTCTTGATATGAATACCTTAGCTGAGTTTTCGCTAACAATGCCACGATCGCTTGGTAAAAGCAGAATTTCCAAGTGTTTCTGCGTTTTCGCAGAGAGCACAGTTCCGGTAGATGCATTCCTTTTAGTCCGCGAAGAACCACATTAGCGTAAACACGTTTGTTTTCTTTTTCGGATGCTAATTCTACGATAACATAATCGCCGTCTACCAAACCGGGACATTCACCAGTCGACCGGTCCTCTGATGATACCGCTTTCAATTTTGGACACTTTATTGGTATACGGACGTGATCCAATTCTTTGCGATTAGCAAAGTAGCTCCTTTGCTCGCATAGAAGTTTATCTTTGTCATTCTCCTGTGGATCAAAAAGGAAAATATCCTTCCGCTTTCTTTCTTCCTTTTCTCGCTTGCCTCGCATCTTCAGTTCGCTTGTCAAATCTTGCGCAGCGCATGGCCACACATCCGGCCATCTCGCATTTGCAGTTTTCGATAGTTTTCCTCTCTTTCGAGATACATTTTTCTGTTAAGAATATCACAAATCTACGTTATACGAATAATCACAAAAAGTGGTTATTTTTAGAGCAAAATAAATAATGCATAATTTATACAATCAAGAGTAAACAAAATAATTCTTTGCGTTACATTAAATGCTGCGTAAATTCCGATTCGACATTACAGTCTGTCCTCTAACTAACCGACTGTCTTGTTCTCATACTTCTCCAGATTCGGATTTTTTGGCGATCTAGTACGGGCGTTCTAACTCGATGTTGAAACTGAAAGCCGCCGAGCGGAAAGCACTCGTGAAGCGGAAATGTCTCGTCGACAACTTCCGCATCAGGCAGCCTCGCAATGTCAGGTGATATCTTCCGTTCGTTTTCCCTCTCCAACGACTCTGCGTATCTACACGTTGCTTTATGCGAATTTATTGGCTACTGTGTAGGATAAGATTAGCTATTGAAGAAAAGGAGTTTCTTACGATTTCATATAAATACGCCAAAGAGATTCTCCTTCGCAGGTCCACGTATCTCTGCATCTCTCTCTCCAAGATCTTATCTTTTTTCCTCTTCCATCTTTGCCCATGCTTGGTTCAGCATCTTCGTATTCAATACTTTCGTACTTCGTAACATCGTTAGTCTCGATCGTTACATCGGTATCTTCTGCATCTGTCGTAACTTCTTCCACAAATTCGCTCATCACTGTCTCCTCAGTTTGAGTCTCCGGTTCCGTCATATTTGCGATTTATCTATTTGCTAGCGATATGTTTGCGTCAACTTAACGATTTAAAATAACCTCGCGTTCATAATTTGTATATCAGTTAAAGTTAGACAAGGATTTTGCAATCAGAATTTGTTAAGAGATTGGCAATTGGTTCTAGCATATATTAAACTCTTTAAACTTAAAATGTGTAGTACACATTGATAATGCAAAGACTGGTGTTGCCCGTAATTGTAATTCATGTAAAATATTACAATTTTGCAATTTTGACATGACCACCGTACAAATGCGTGAATTTTGCATTCTTACGTATACGTCAATCCAATTGAACGTCTAGACATGTTTATATAAAAGCATCTATAGTAATATATATTTATAACAGAGATAAATTCATAGAAAATATACATTCAGATTCGTTTGATTCTACTAAAACTATGGAAACATTTTTATAATTTTTATAATGTCATGAACGAATTCATAACCTAACATTATCACGCGCGACAATTGAGTAGTCAGACGTAGCTACTGTTTTCCATAGAGCTTGTTTTGAAACGAATATATCCGCATAGATGTAATCCGAATATGAAGTGAGAGAAAGAAGGCAAACACTCGAAAATGGTCGATTCAAATTTGTATAGGCCCTCGGAAGACTACAGAGGGACAAGGGACTCCTCGAGAACGCAGACGGCTTCCTGAAGCTGAAAAAATACAGGCCCGAAGGGGCGCGCAGCAGCCTCCGTCGATTTATCCCGTTCCGTCCGTACGATTTTGTAATTATTTTGCTGCTGCCGGTGCACAGACGAAGCCCTAGAGCGACAGGCAATCTCGGCGCGCGAAGCCCGCCGGTGACGCAAGATTTTCAAAGTGTTTATAAAATTACGGGCGCGATACCGCCGGTGCGACCGAAATAACGCGAAACCGTACACCGTCCGGTCGGGCGGTATTCAAATCATTATTGGATTTGGGAGCCCTGCACGTGCACGGATGACGAACAAATAAATCGTATTTCGAATGCCGCAAAGTCGACTCTGTCGATTCCGAAAGTGTCGGCCGCGGTCGCGCCTTATCGCCAAACAACCGAAATTCACGTTACAGCTTCGTCTTTCATCTAAGCATTCCGAATGTTGTGCTCGATATGATACAAACTATTTAAAGTCGCGACTCAAAAGCTCAAAAAGTTATTCGAATCATTTGATCAGCGAAAAATTTTCAACAGTAGTAGAATATAAATCATCAAACTTATAGGAACTCGGAGTCTCTTGTTTCAAATAGATTGTCATAAGAGAAAGAGAGATGTAGAAGGAAAACAAAAATCACTTAAGTTTTGACTATACTATTTTCATAATTATAACCGTTTGAATATAAAGATTTTGTTTACTTTGTGTATTGTGCATGATATTTTTTATTATGAATACGTTATTTATTATGAATAACCCTTATACGAAATAGCCCGAGACGTGAATAGACAAAAATCACTTATCCAACCAGCCGTTTTGAAAAAATGGCTTACAACTTGTGAAAACTGAAGGAAACACATATAGCGTGTTGTGTGCCGTTGCGAACGCGACGCCGTCCAAAATTAATATCCGCGGCTTTTGTTCACGTTGTTTGCAAGTTTGTGTTTTTTTGACGATCAAACGCGGTAGTTTTGCACGGCGTAAAGTTTTTAACGCTAATGAAATGACAGTGTAAAATGTACGGTGGGTCAAAAGGTATTTCGCGTTGAAACGCGTGTCTCACCATCCATTGTGTATTGTGTTACGGCATTCCGGATCGTCTCGTGGCAAATTCCGCGCATCGAATAATGATGATTTTTGCCGATTTTTTCTCGTAATTCGATAAGAGCTTTCTCGTCGGTCGGAGAGTATCTCGTGGGAATCGGACAAAGTGGAATTCAAAGCCTGGAATCGACCTGATCCTTGCCATCGAGCTTCACCACTGCGCCGGAGCGAAGTTTTTGCGGAGCGAATCGAAGATCAAGACAATTCTCGATGAAAATTTAATGAAAAGTTCACGGAGACACTCGAAGACGTAAACTTGGAAAGACGGATTGATTGCTTGCGCGTCGCGGCTAAACCTCGAGAGCACACACATCAATGAATTATCGCGATCGATTATTGGCACACGAGGTCTTCTGTGCCTCGCCGAGAACTTCGGTAACGATTCGAGAAATCTTTAAGTCCTGTAACTTGTCGTCGTGCTTAAAGCAGAAGACATCTTCTTCGATTGCGAAATATTTCAATATCACACACGCGGAGAAAATTTTTATATAAAAAATTATATACTGTGATACGCGGCAGTAACCGCGGACCATAAGAGGAAGTTTAAATACTATTATGGCTATTATGTGAAAAACATAGTAAAAATTTTTATAATTTCTTCCTTGTCCGCGGCTGCTGCCGTACATAGTAATTTTTTGTATAAAATTTTCTCCGTCTATTCGCTAAATAACGCGAAAGTTGTTATATTCGTAAAAAAACCACGATTAAAAAATGTAAATCTCTAAAATTTCTTTCGTGCAAGGCGACACGCCTTGTACAATGAGACAAATGTTGTCTCGCTGATCGAAATTATTCCAAATTATTACAAGAATACATTGCGTGCATTGCTATGGCGGAAATTTCGGGAGGCGCGTTTGCGGTGCGAGAATCGTCCCGAGGGGTGAAGAGAGGAGAAGCGGATTGCCTGTTCATATAACATATACATATGCCTACGTTTGTGTATAATATATATTCGTTTCGAAAGGAGGAACGGGGAGAATGAGCAGTGAGGGAGAGGGGGGAGAAAGAGAGGGAGAGAGAGAGAGAGAGAGAGAGAGAGAGAGAGAGAGAGAGAGAGAGAGAGAGAGAGAGAGAGAGAGAGAGAGAGAGAGTGCAAAATAAACAGTGCATTATATGCAATAACGCACAAAACACCCCTACGGCTGTGCAGTCATCTCCTTCGAAAGATTCGGCCGCGAGTGCGCGCGCGGGCAATCCAATTAATTTTATTTTAATTACCGCATCGTCGGGCATACGCCGATTGTTATTGTTTCGACGTCGATGAATCGACCGTCGCCCGTAATTTTGCCGCTGACAATTTCCGTCTCTCAATGTTCACGATGCGACACCTGTGCAAATGGACATTGCGTTCCTTCGAAATAACTCATTTCCCATTATTTCTTAGAACGAACGTCGTGTTGAAAAATCGACAAGTGATAAATTGCCGGATCAATTTTTATATATATTTTTTTACAGATTAAAGCATGAAGTGTAGAGCGCAACGCCTAAATAAAAACTACAGGTTTTTTCTCAATTCTTTCTTGATTAAAGATTATATTAGAATTATATTATATTACATTTTTTAGAAGTTATAAAATCTTTTTTCAAAAAGCAATTTAATTTTATAGAATTTAACACGGTTTCATTATTGTCTAATGAGGCTTAAAAAGAGCGCTTGTAAAATCACGATTAACAGGAATGCATCACTTGAGACGATGAGACGCGATATTATAACAAAATTTATATAAAAGAATTATACAATCAAAAATGTAAGTTATGCAGAAATACGGCATGGTATCGTATCGGGTACGATACCATACAGATGGACGGCCATAGCAGCGATGATTGTTCGCGGCAGGAACGATCGATGGCACTCGATACACAGTCGACGAGGAGTTAAAAAGTCGACGTATTGAATTTACAAACGAGCCGTAATATTATTCGAGGAAATAACAAAGGCCGCACTGGTGCGGACGAATTAAGCTATTTCGCCCTACGCCACACATATTGTACGATGTGTAGTGGCGGAATTATTTGTACGTCATTACTAATGCGCAGTCGCGATAGAGTTCGATAATATTACAATAATTAAATTATCGTAATATCGCCGGCGGAAAAGGGAGGCGAGTATGAATTTGTTGCGGTTAAATATATAATAAAGCATTGCTTAAACAAGGGAATGCCGGTTACACAAAACGCACACTAAACTAGTAAATAATTCAACAATTCATTTTCGATATAGAATTTAATCATCCACGTAAAAGCGAGACGTAACGCTTTGCAACGATATTAATCCAACGGTTATTTTCTTATCCTGCCAGGATCCTGCTGTAATCCGCCAATAGTTTCGGACCATATTACAACGTTTAATTGTAAT